TTTCAGGCTTTTCCTAAATCTATAATCAAAGTGTGGAAATAACACTTGCTGCGAGGTCCGTCATTGTTTTTTGGATGGATTTACGTTGACTAATTAAATGGGAATTCCTCATAAGGAACGTTGACACATCAACTCGAGATTAGGCAGCTTCTAATGCTCTACTTTATTAACAGAAAAGTGTGCTAAAGAGTAACCTGCATAAATGACTTTGGAGACAGTTGACCTAGTGCTATAAAAGGCTGTCGGAACTGATGCAGTCGGAGGTCCTCTCAGTGGCAGGAGTGGTGTATCAGATGTGGGAACCCTAATAGAATATTGCCATCACAAGCACATGCAAGTTATCTTTATAATAATAGAAGCATCCAATTCATCTTCTAACAAATGGCTAGCTGGTAAGATTTTTATATTCCTCTACCGAGTAAAACACGTTTGCAGTTAAGGGAGTGCTCATAAATGGTTTAAATTTCTTAACTCATATTTTTTATGCCGCGACCTAGTTTATTAAGAGCCGAATTCGCGACTTGTTGGCATAGCTTGTCAAATGACTTAAAATTTTGGGAATGCTTAAATGTTGTACCTAAGCCTTGATGTTTTCTATTAGGGTCTCAAGCAGGTAGATAGATAATTGCCTAATTTGAGATTTAGGGAGAAAAAAATACCCCAAAATCCATAAATGTAACATGCAAGTCGGGATAAACGATATTTTTCTATAATTGACTTGTTTAGAAAACAACATTTATGCCAGGCCTTTCACATACATGTATTATTTTGATCCATTGTAAAAATGGTATCTTATATTGGTTTTGATTATGTTACCTGTTTAGCTAGAATTTACCCTCTTTTACAAATTACCTAGAATTAATGGTTATAGATTCTAATTTCTCAAAGAAATTCCTGCGACGAGTTTTTTTTAATCGAACTTGCTGACGTTTCGCCAATCATTGTGTTGGCTTCTTCAGAGCTTAACTCAAGATTCAGATAAGTTGTGAAGAAGACATGATGTAAATAGTGGTTATAGATTTTATGTTCATATATCTAGTTGAATTTTGTTAGTCACTTTGCCCATAAAATATATCTGAAAGTCCTAGTAAACATTTATTTTTTTTAATAAATTATATTATGGATTTTAACTTTCAAAAAGCATGGGCTCTAAACAATAAAAATCTTTCTACCTACTTATAGCTTATCTACCTACCCACCTAGTTGAAAATTACATTGAAAACATAGACGCTTTAATTTTTGTTATTATTTATTTCGTATAATGAACACATGCCCTTATATAAAATATCACAGAACAGGTAGGTAGTACAGATATGTAAATGATCCCATGCAGGTAGGGATTAAAAACACAATTTAAGGAGTGTCCTAGGGGCTTTATTTAACTGCAATTGGGTATCGGTAACGGGGGTTGGTACAAATTGCCAGGGATGGTCCTTAAATTTAGGGAAACAACAGGGAGGGGACGCAAAGGGCGTGACCACCAAATCAGAATACGGTGCTTAAGTTCCTAAACTGCTTTGAATTAACTTTTCTCCTGCCTATTTTAACAATTATTGTGGAAAGTGTCACTTTAAGACGTCCGTTTGGTTGCCATTTTGATATATTTGTTTGCTAGATATATTTGCATATATATTGCCTGTGCTGCTAATGAAGGAGCGTTTGAAGCGACGACGAAAAAAAATACTGGGAAATGTCATTTAGTATCCGCATGCGCGGTCGGTGGGAATCTCGGTTTCAAGCAATAATCCTGTCACTAACAACAGACATGGCCGCTGACACTTTATTAAGAAGTTTTAGGTTAGATGTAGCATTTTTACGCCAATATTTTCTTAAAATATACCCAGATATCGTTAAATTTAAAGATCCGATGAATGATAGTTGTGCGGGGGTCGCTGTTTAGAATGAAAATGGAGCAAAGTTTAGAGTGTGAAAGCTAGAGGCATGCGGGGAAGATCATTCCGTTCGCTGCGAAATTATCATGGCCGTCTAACACCCATTAATTTTTACCGACCTTATACCTGTCGATAAATTCACTTTGTTAGCTACTGCTGTATTCCCAAATTTTCTTTGGAATCGTTATCATGAGACGGTTATTAATATAAAATTAATACTTAATGACGTGTGTAGTAAAAAGAAACCTTACAGAAATTTATTTTAAAAAATTAAAGTAATATTATTAATTGCAGAAGCGTCCCGGAAAACACAATAACGAACATTTTTGGCAAAAAATACTTACTGTTTTCAAATGTAACGGAAAATGCAAGAAACAAATGTTTCTATATAAACGATTCTTTTTCCATGTCTTGAGTGAGTTAGTTAGAAAGAATGATAGATAGTAGTAGATAATTCAATCCCTTTAACTCATTCTGAGACATGCATGCGGAAAGCGTGTTTTTATAATTTATATAGTTTTGTTAGTAAAATACAATAAAAGTTTACAATGAAGCATAGTTCTTTACAAAATCTAGAGTTTATATACAATTTATATGAACAAGGTTGACGCAACACTCAGTCATTGAACTGCTTGTTCCAAAACGCCTACCTGAGTCTAATAGGAACCCTGATGTGAAGGATAAATAGTATCAATTCCTTGTTTTACAATAACCTCACTAAGTAAATTCATTAGGAAGTATTTTTTACAAACCTATAATTACTTTAATATAGCCAAGCAATGCGCATAATTTGATTGTTAATACTAGTTTTCAAATTGACAATATTTTTGCAGATGCCATCGAGCGAACAGCATAAAAATTACCTTTTTTACCTAATTTTTTTATATTATAAAAAAGTTAAACCGAAAATCTTCCTAACTGTGGGTTTCGAAGTCTATTGGACTCTTGAAATATGAGTGACAATTAAATAAGTGCTTTCCTGGAAAAGTTATTAAGGTGAGAAACAAATTTTTAGCAATATCACAATTTCCTATGAAAAGCATCATTGAAATTTGCATCCAAATGTATGCGAAAACCAACCTCAATGCAACAAAATAAATCAAATTGCTATTGAGCAACATTTACGTTTTTGCACAAAGAACCTAATCAACATTTGCAGTCTTTTGTACGGCACTGTTAAGAGAATTATATGCGTCAAATGTCAATCTAAACAGCAATTCACTAAGTCCTTTTCTGACAGAGATATCGATTGGAAAGACGCGTTTCTTGACTTTATCTTTTGAATAACATTTTTTGCAAATACCGGAACTCCAAATTCAACAATAGAATCGTTATTTTGGATGGTGGATGCGCCGGGTTTACAATTATTCTGTAATAACTATTTTCTTTGATCATATTTATTAGTGACAGTCACTGTTGAATATATCCTTTCCTGGTGGATCTACTCGGGAGGCAAACCGAGACAAAAAAAAATAGATTTTAGGAAACATTTTAATTGTTATACAAAAAATGGCACTAAAATTGGGTTTCCTTTTCGTGGTAAGTCAAAGAGAATTTGATGAAATGTGAAAAAAACTTGCAATTCAATAAATATTTTACTGGTGTAGATATATTGAGGGGAGAGAGCTATCATCTTAACTTTTCTACAAAATCTAATCATTCCCGGGAATTCCTCAGAAATAACAGCCTCTTTGTGATTGCTGTCTACACATTGAGGGTAATTAATAATGGATAGCTTGATAAACCAACTGAAGATGTGAATACTTCCTAATGCGCTACCTTACCATAACAGTGTACTGAAGAGTGACATGAACGGCTTTGGATACAGATGGCCTGTATTCTAAGTGTTATGCTTTCATTTACTTATTAACATTTTAATTAATTGCATCTATTGTTTATTTACTTTAATTTTTCATTTTAAGACCTATATGTACGAACAAAGTGCAGGTTGTGGTTTCCATTTCCAAAATTTTTAATCCAGCACTTGTTTGGATAGACTTTTCTTCAGTGACTATATAATTAACATTTCCCGCATAATGAGGTACTTTTTGTGCGATCAAACACGGAAAAGGATGGCACCTTTAAACAGAAAGGCTACAGGTGTGACAACCAATTTTGACTGCACATTTTTTGTAATAGGAATTGCATTTAAACTTTTAGGGGTGGAATTATTATATTTCTCAGGTGATGTCAGAGAACATATTATCAACTACACAAATTGCATGGAACTTACATTTCGATTAGTCAAAATAGGTCATAGAGTTGTTACTGTAAGATGTCATTTCATTAATTAATCTATTAACGGGAAAAGTCTGTCGGAACCTATGTAGTCAATGGTGATAATTGCAACTGTAGAATTTTTTGAGGGCTTTAGCACCAAAGTGACCTCAGCTTTACGAACCCTAATAAGATACTGCCATCATGAGAGTTGTTGGCAAGAGCGCATGCAACCTACCTTTAAAAGATTAGGAAACTCAGATTCATGTAACTATGGGCAAATTATTAGGAGACAGGCGACTGAGATTATAGCAAGAAGAGTAAGACATACTTATCCGAGAGTACAGAGCGATATAAGGGAAGTCCAAATTAACTTAAAAATTAACTGAACCTGGAGGACCTGCTTATCACTATCAATATTTTTTTTTAAAGAAAAATGATCCTAAATCTAATCATTTCAGAATATTTTTGACATAAAGTTGGGATCCATGGCAACTTAATTTTTCCAGAACTAAAAAGAAAAAAAAGGTTCCCATACTCAGGATGAAATATCTAAAATTCAATCCTTAACTGACTTTTCAGAATCATACTTTAATCAAACGGATGGCCTCTAAATGGTTACAAAACATTGAATATGTATATATGATATACAGAATTTGATAATTTTGTTCATGCACATCATAACCGCCTGTTGCACTAGAATGAAATAGTTGTTTCCAAATTTTGTACTTGAAGATGAAAAAGCAATTTTCTCTCCTACAATAGGAAGTTTGAATTTAGCGCTCATTAAAGCCTAGTTGATACCTACAAGGCAAGAGGCCTCCACTGACAAGAAGAATTTATCAACTACGTGGTCAAAAATTTAATTCTGTAGTCTATGCTTATATAGAACAACATAGTAAAAGTTACATTCGTATTCTATGCTGCATTGCAGCTGTCAGTTCCAGCAAAATAGTTTTAGTTTTTTAGTAAATAGTTATAGTAACAAAAATTTGATTAACTTCCGTTGTCTTCAAAATTCGAGGTTTGTACGTTAATAGCGGAAAAGGTCGAGTATTACTTGTAAAATGTAAAGCACGTTTACAAAATAAGGTTATGAATTACGTTATAGCTTATTGTGCTTACAGTTATTCTATTGCAAACTTTCACAGGCATGTTTATTATTTGTAGGTGAATGTTTTATTTACCGTGATATTGACGCAGTCTGAAAAGATGGCAAGAGGTCAACAAAAAGTACAATCGCAACAGAAAGCCGCAGAGAAAGCAGCTAAGTTAAAAAAACAACAAGGGCACAGTGCCAATGATCAAAAAAAAGCTGCACAAAAAGCCTTAGTTCACGTTTGTGCTATTTGTAAGGTAAGATTAGGTTAGGAGATATTGCAGATGTATTCAATGTGCCAGTGACCTATTTTTTAACCCTATTATTAGTGTTCAATTTTATATTATATTTGTTGTATAGGTATCTTTTCCTTCATTTGTAATATATTCTATTATATATATAGTTATTATTTTAAGTATCTATTTTTTTTCTTTATATAGGCACAAATGCCCGACCCAAAGACCTACAAACAGCATTTTGAAAATAAGCATCCTAAACTGGAAGTGCCTGAAGAGCTAAAGGACCTTTGAAAATTCTTCAAATAGCAGCAGTTTAAAATTGCATATGACACTTATTCATTCCTCTGGAATTATTTGCTGTTAATTTTTATTCTTTTGGTGATTTCCTATGTTTTTACAATAAATGAAAAAAATACTACACAATTTTTTAAGTATTTATTTGTTTTCTACATAAATACATATACACTCCAAAAAAAATCAGATTCCACCACCATCCAGATCCAACAATTCACAACCACAAACCCACACCCCTGACCATGAAAATTTCTTACATCATCCTAATGATAAACATTTCATTAATTACAAGTACATTATACCAAGTGCTTAATAATTTTTTAGATTTTTTACATGAACAATATTCAAGCTCTAGTGCCTAATCTAAACTTTGGTTTCATAATGTTGGTTTTCTAAAGAACTAGTAACAAATATCTGCGGTCCGAAGCAACCACCTAGTTTACAAAATTTTAATACTCTAAATTTTTGCCAAAGAAAAATTTAAATATGACACTCAGTTATTACAAAATAACTTAAAATATAATATAAATAATGCCCAAAGACAATTTATGCGCAGACATTTTATTAAAATGATATAATTTGATAAATAAGTACTTCATCATATACTGCCTAGGTTAATACATTAGAATAGCACATTGTATTGAGTTATTTATTAAATAATTATTCACAAACCCAATTAAAATTCCACTAATTCGATGTAATTTTAAATCAACTTAAAACCACACCAAAACACACTTTAAAATCGAGATATACACATGTCTGAACAAAATATAAAGAATACTATACAGTTTTTAACAAAATATAAAGAATAGTAAATATGTAAGTGGTAAAAATGTAAATAACCATAGATGGCATAAATATTTAATACTTCCCCAAGTAATACTTCATTGTTGCACCAAATGTATACTTTTAAAGTTGTATAAAGTTATCAACTCACAAAACACAATGAAATAAAATGCTCTTATCAAAATGTAACCAGTTTGGAATGTAGGGATTGAACATTCATAAAATGCTAACCCTCCAGTTCAAATCTTGGCTGATATTTTCTGGATTAAATTGTGAGAGAGTCACCATTTATTTGGAGAAGTCATCATTCAGTACAAAATTCACTAAAAATGCTTTTAGTTTATCATATGCATGATCCAAGTTGTCATTTGTTATAATTATGTGAAAATTTCCAGGTGTTTTACCTAAACAAAGGCAAACCATTAAGAATATACTCTCCAGATCATATAATATTTACCATAAATCATTTCTTCTTCAGCAACTTTTAATCTTTGTAACAAGCTTTCTTCAGTTTCTGTATTTCGAGCTCTGAGCCTTTTTTCCAATTCTTCAAGAGAGGGGGGCTCCACAAATATATACCACGCATTTAAATTAGAACCTTTAATTTTCTTCACACCTTGCACATCAATATCCAGAATGCAAATCTAAATAACAATGATAAATCTACTGTAAATAATAAGGGAATCTTTACTACCTAACTTTACTAAATATAAATTTTTGATTTCTGAACTTACTTTTCCCTGGTCAATTATCTTTTGCACTGCTGCTTTACTGGTCCCATATATGTTACCACTGAATATTGCATATTCTATAAACTTATCTTCACTGATGGCTTGTTCCATTTCTTCCTTCACAATGAAGTGATAGTGCTGACCATTAATTTCTCCAAGTCTCGGGCTCCTTGTAGTGTGACTAACACTAAACCCAAACTTGTCAGGAAATTCTTTGGTCATCCTGGAAACGAGAGTACTTTTTCCAGATCCTGAAGGTCCACAGAAGACCAAGGGTCTAGGACGTGGGGGTGCCATATTCAATAATACTAAAATGCAATGTTGCAAAAATTAAAGATATTCTACGACTTACACTCACTTCTAAAAATTGGTTGAAGTTGACTGAATATACTAGTGACAATGCACGCTTGCTTTGAAACCCTGAAAAGCGATATTGATATAAACGTGGTTGAAATAGGTGGTGCTAGCAAGTAAATCCTCCAAAGTTTTACTAGAAACCGGATAAAATAAACTTATACATGACATTAAAATTTAATTAAGTAAAAGATGATTTGGTATTGATTTTTACAGTCATTCAAATTTTCCAGTTTACACTTTTAAAATTGACAAATAGCACAACATAAAGTACAAGAAGTTTTCAATGAGTCAAATTACCATTTGTTCGTCTGTGCGTTTTGCATGAATTTGAAAGACTATAGGCAACCGACAATGCGAACCAACTTTATGTTCGTGAAATAAAGCGCATTCGAGTATGAACATTTCTTGCAACTTTTAAGAGATTTATGATATAAAAAAGATTGGGGTATCATAAGTAATCATAACGTAAAGCCAAAAACTCCCATAGAAAATTTTAGCAATAACGCCATTTAACTAATAACTTCAAATTGTTTGAAACTAGAATTTTTAAAGAGATTTTTTTTTAACAATGTCTAGTGGTAAAAAATGGCTAGGTCGCAGAACCATACAAAACCGCTTACTATAATCGGTAGGTAGTATATTGTTGGTACGGAGACTGGCCGGTTCATTTATTTACGAATCTATATAAGATCTCTTGAGTCAATCAAGGTAATTATTAGTGTAGTGACTCGGACACCAATAATGTTTACAAGGTAAAATATCTGTTCCATTATTTCACTTACCAATTTATGGTAAAATCAAGCGAAGCGTGTAACATGGAATTGAAGGTGTTCGTCGGACCTATTTTTATTCAAAATAAAATAACAAATTGACGAAAAATTCCCTTATATTTTTTAATGTTTCAAGTTTTTCCGTTATGGGTTCAAATTAATAAATCTGTAACAAATAAGCAGGTCCACTAATTAAAAAACACAAACAAAATCAACTAAAACAAGGGCCAAAATCTATGTCATTAAGATTCACCTAAACGAGCTATATTATTTCAACATAAGGACTGAAAAAAATCGCATCTTTTAAGAATTTGCTTATTTCACTTCCGGTGCGAAAATTTAAATTTGACCTTAACATTTAAAAGATGCAAGTACGATTGGTGCATTCTTCCTGATTTCTAAGTTTGTTATTTTGCAGTATTATGCGACTTTTCTTGGCCTATACTTGTAAAAGTGTTTTATAAATGGTGAAGTAAGTATAATTATATTACATCATTTAATAAGTACAAATATGCCATATAAAAGGAATTATTAATTATGTGGTTATTATTATTTACATGAACTTGCTATGAATGCTTTAATTTGAAAATATTGTAATACTTATAAGTTATTATTAATTTTATTCTAAATAAGTGCAAATTCTCCCATTAACATTATAAAAGCATAACTATAATCGAAATAACCATTTGCTTAGGGAAAAAAAAAAGACTTTTTACTTTTACTTATGACTTTGCAGTAAGCAAATATACATTGAAAATACCGGAAGAGACAGCCTATTGTTTATTAAAAAAACACAACCTACATTTGAATTTACTTACACCCATAAGTGGGTGTGACTGTCAGCAATTTATATCAATGTTATGCAATAAGTATTTCAAAAATTTGAACCATCACTTTTTTAGGATAATGTTGATTCAAATGCACTTAGCTGCACTGCTACTCATTGGTTCAGCAACTCCAAGATCACCAAGAATATATAATGTTCTTATAAGTTCAAAGAAAAATTTATCGCCAAGTCATGCTCTACCGATTTATGAACCCGTATTAAGAACAACATCTTTAGGCTACATCTTTCCAACTCTAATATATCAGCCATCCATTATAAGCCCAATAGCACAATATGTAAGTAATATTTTGGAGTTATAGTTAAAAAAAACGAAAATGATTATTTTAAGGAATATAATCAGTACCAAAAAGGCAGTGGAGGAGAAAATTCCGATGGTGGTGGAAATATAGAGGGGGCGAGCAATATTGATTCGCCAAATAATGTATATTTATTTTAAAATAGGTGCACTTAAATTTGCATTAATTTTTTTTTTCAGATCCAAAAGACGATACCTAAAATAACTGAAAGGGATAAACAAGTACACGAAAATAAAGAACAACTAAACAACAAATTCTTGCCATACTACAATCCAGGTCCAGCAAATCAGAAACCAGGCCCAACCTATGCAAAAACAGAACCCACTGATCCAAAACAAATTGTTGCCAACTTGAAAAGGAACCCAGAAATTCCTGACATTCCTCCTTTACCTTTACCAGTCAGAGTCTCCTAGATCTGACTATTTGTACGTAATATTAAAAAGTGATTTAACTACCATAAATCATGGAAAATTCTCCATTACTAATAGTGAAAATCTAGTAAAACATATTGTGCAACACCTGATTATATATTTTAAAAAACTGAAGGATAGTGAACAACAATTAAATGAATTCAATTAATTTCTTGATTTATTTTCATCTTAACGTCATCAAGAACAGCATTGCCTGATATTTTCAATGTTTTGAACCTTGATTTGTGACCCTATAAATATAATATGTTATAAAATGCATGTTTAAGTATTAAAATCTTAAAAAGTTACATTTTCTAATGAAACCTTAGAGGAACGCACTCCCAGGATAGCAGCAACATACTTTATAAGCTCACTATTAGCAGCACCTTCAATAGGGGAGGCGTTAATTTGAACGTTGATACCTTCTGAAGTAATGCCTGCAATTTTAAGTCTAAGGAAATTAAATAACCACATATTATGAATTCGCTTTCCTGTTATTACATTCTGCTTAGCCCCTGGCTTGGCATAAATTTGTATTAACACTTCATTATTCTTATTTAAGCTTATTGGCTCCGTTTCTTTCTGAAGAATATGAAAAAGATAAACCAAGTTTTTTTTAATTCCTTTCCTTACCATTTTCGCACTGGTGTCTACTTGTGTGCCCAGCATGCCCTTGCTTTTGCATCGTTTAGACATTTGTATTAAAGTAGTATTAACCAGAAATAATTTATTCCTCATGAATTTCTTTGACTTATATTCAACATAAACATTTTTTTGGTTTTTATTGATATGGGCATAACCTAAGGACACAACAACAAACCACAATTATTTGCTTGCAGTGTACTGTGGAAGTTAGATGTACAATAATTAATCGCATAAGAGGAGAAAGCAAACTTACCATTGTTTATTCTATGGTCAAAATATTCATTCTCCAGGCAGTGCTATGTGTTTGGTACCCCATATTTCATAGTGTTTTATATTACCGCAGCATTTCGAATTTCAAAATAGAAATGCCAAAAAAGTTTGCTAGTGAAAATACGAAAGCTGTGGCAGCAAGGGAAAGAAAGAAAGCTGCCAAAGATGAAGCAAATCAACGAAAAGAGCGAGACCTAGAGGATGCTAAGTGGAGAGATGATGATAAACAAATATTAAAAAAGCAACAGAAGAAGGTTAGGTCATTTTTGCACTCTCCTCTTTATTTTCTAAATACTTGTTTGTTGTTTAGGAACAAGAGGAGCGTAAACGTCAAGAACAATTGCAACGAAAGGCTGAAGCAAAGGTTTTGTTGGAGAAAGAAATGGGTTCAATAAAAGCAAACAAACCTCCACCTGCTCAGAAAATTACTCAAGCTCAAATATCAGCTAAAAAAGTCGAAATGGCACCGAAGAAGGATGTTGAAAAGAAGTTGGAAACACATTTGGATGTACCATTAGAGGAAAATATTAATAGACTTCAAATTGATGGTGAAGAGGCAAGAACTGTTGATGAAGCTATTTATGTACTTAGGTATACTTTTCTCATTGCTCTAGCTCGATTTATTAATGGAACTTCTTGATTTTTTCATAGAGGAGTGACCGAGGACTTGGATAAACACCCAGAAAAAAGAATGAAAGCTGCTTACATGACCTTCGAGGAAAGAAGGCTGGCAGACCTAAAAGCGGAACATCCCTCTTTAAGATTATCCCAGTTAAAGCAAATGATTTTTAAGGAATGGCAGAGATCTCCAGAAAATCCATTAAACAAAGTGTAAATATTAAGTAAAGATGACAATGTAGATTTGAAAATTTATGAGGTTTTGTGTGAGGGATTAGGAACTTCATTAGGAATATTGTGAAGGATGATTTTGTGGTACTTTAGTACCTACTCTTTTTTTATTTTATTCTGCTGTTATATTTATATTCTGAGTAGTGGATATTAATGCTTTTATACACTTTATCTGTTTGCTAATTATTGTGACTTCCCAAGTCTAATTTTACTGTCATTTTTGGAGGAATAAAAGTGGAACAACTGAATGTTTATTTTATTACATGTACAGAAATTATTCTATTGCAAAATAAATAATCTGTAACAGACATTTTTTTTAAATAACATGAGACGGCAACTTAATGGTCAGAAATCCTAACTTCATCTCAGAATTCTAATTATATATATCACAGTTAAGCATACAGTTATATTGTGCTTCTGTGGTGTCACAGCGGGTGGAGTCTGTTTCAAAGCCGCCGCCTCCATTCGGATTGAAAAGGAAACTTGTTTTATTCGACTATTTATCCATAGAGGTCGCATCATAAAAATAATGGCTTGTGATTATAGAAGAGAGTGTAACATAATTCATGTAGTAATATCATCATGATGTTTATATCCTAAAATAACCCTGATTTCAGCCTTGCTTTTCGCAAGCCGTTAAATTTCATGATCTGACACTGATATTTAGATATCTTTATTAAACCATCAGGCCAGTAATTGTTGATTTTTTTGCAGCTTCACTTGTCAAATTTCCGTCAGGCAATTATTTTTAATATACAAATTTTATCAGATATTTGGATAAGATGCTATTGGCCACAAATAGTGTCGAGCGGCATAGAGTTTTAATATCAAAAGTTTAATTATTTATACGTAATTGTTAATATGCATTGTCCTCTTATAATTCAGAGACCACCATAACCAATAATAATTTGGGGAATTCCATGTTGTCGATCGGTTTTCTTTCTTTTTACTTTTGTTTGTTTTATTAATTTCCAAAAAGGTGTACTATTTTTCATGAATCTGTCAATTTTAGAAGTGTTATCAACATTAAAGCATCGAAGAGTTAAATTGTCCATATTTCATTACCCTTGAATTCTGGACCAACTTTACTACATTTGGTGAATAAAAATGGAATTTTGTACAACGGACATCTTTATTTGAGGAAGAAAATGAGTCACAAAGCTTACGACATTTTTTTGAATTATTATTATTATTATTTGAAATATGTTTTTATCATTTGATTTTAATTATGATAAATTGGTTTGATAACGATTAGTTGGGATTAAAAATATGTTTTAAAAACCCGAACTGTATATAAATTCGACGTATATAGATTGTTATTATTTCTCCGGGTGAATTTGATGCAAGCGAGAATGAACAGTTTCGTATTCATTTTTGGTGCAATATTTGCCAGTTGTCTCGCAACACCAATAGGTAATTATTAGCTAAACAGTAGGCAAATATACTGAAGAGAATCGATCTTTTTTTGTCCTTTAGAAATCGGTGCCAGAGCGAAGGAAGACGATCTGGTTTATGTCTACTACAGCAGAGAACTGTTCAATGGGGTATACACCACCACAACCGAAGATCCAAATTTAGATAAATTAAAAAGCGTTTTTCAAATAAGAAAGCCTACTGTCATTCTTTTCCATGGCTGGAGAGATGGATATGGAGCTGACTCAAATACCTACGTCAGAAGCGCCATTTTATCGAAGCTTGATGCGAACGTAATCAAAGTCGATTGGAGTGGACTTGCTGGATTAAACTATATATCAGCCAGAAATGCAGTTCCTGGTGTAGGCAGACTTGTTGGCCGTTTTCTCAGACTCTTGTCTCAAAAGTTACGGTACTCATTAGACGATGTCACAGTTATTGGTTTTTCATTAGGGGCCCACGCTGCCGGAAATGTTGGAAAGGAACTAGGCGGAGATCTTGGACAAATTATCGGACTTGACCCTGCAGGACCGCTCATCTCAGCTAGAGACATTGATTACAGTTTACATCCAACGGATGCTAAGTATGTTACCGCTATGCATACTAATGGAGATGGTTTGGGCTTAATGGCGGCAGTTGGACATAGCGATTTTTATCCAAATGGAGGACAAAGGCAACCAGGATGTGGGGCGGATCTTCTCGGTGGTTGTGCACATAACAGGGCCTGGGAGTATTTAGCAGAGTCCATCACTGACAATAAATTCGTTGCCAGAAAGTGCAATAGCTATCGCGATTTCCAGAGAGATCGGTGCGATCAGGGTTTCACTTTGATGGGTGGTTTGTTGACTCTGGACAAATCGTAAGTATAATCCAGTCTTGAATTATTTTGTAGAGTTAATAATTTTCTTTTCAGTGCTAGAGGCAACTACTACCTGGACACCAATAGTGCCTCGCCATATGCGCGTGGTTTTCAATAATATCAACAAAATTTATACTGCGTCTCGGAGACACTTGTATTTTTTTCAATAAAGGGTTTTAAAATATCTGTTGTTTGTTGGCCTATGTCATACATTTGAAAACTAAATATTTGAAATAACAATAATGCTAACCTAACAGTAATTGTGTAAACCTTCAGGTTGGTGGCATTGCTTTATCGGTAAATGTTACAAATATCTTTGAAAAAAGTTATTTAGAATTTTCCAATTGTGGGTTTTGTCGATTTTATGTTTTTCGAAGTACGACAGGATGTTACTATACGAACTACTGTACTAATTTTGTTGCAACTGTCATTTGTAATGATGTATTGTGCATTGTTGTGAAGTCGAATTAAAAAAACAGCGTGTAAGTTTTGTCTTATTAGAAAACGAGAAATACATCTATACAGCTATGCAGCAAAAGAGTCTTGGTTAGTTTTATATAAAATAGTTTATCAAGACTGTTGGGAGGGTTGCCAAAACGTCATTGGTTTTCAGGATGTCAACAATTAAAAGTCAATAATTAGTTATTTTGTTGCTCTTGTCTGTGGCCTTATCCCTAAAATTATGCTTTAAACAGGTTTCGTAAAGAAAGTAAATAATGTTTCGTAATCCTTTATTTGCAATATAAACAATCCCTCAGTCTCCTAATGCGTATGGTGGTCTGCTATTGGTGTTCAAATAATATTCTCCAGACGCCCTGCAACACGATAGACCAGGAGTTTTTAGATTGCCATAACTTAAATACTTACTTCTTATCGACTGGAAAACCACCCATTCGACTCTTAGAGTTGGTGGTGCACCTATCTCGGTTAAAATCTCTTTCGCTTTCGCACAAATACGCTATAAACTCATTGTTGACTAAACTTTCAGCGTAGTACGTGTATGCTCTACTGTGAGCGCACGAACCAGTTACATCTAATCCACAACCCGGTTGAGATCTGCCTCCGTTAGGATAAAAATCCACGTCTCCCATGTTTATTCCGAATCCCAAACGACCATCGTTCGTGTGGATCACTTGCACGAACTTAGCATCAGTAGGATCCAATCTATTGTCTGTATTTCTTTCTGAGAAAAGTGGACCAGCAGGATCCAATCCGACAATATTATCTATCAAACCGTTGGTCGCCGCACCAACATTACCAGCGATGTGAGCTCCTAGTGAGTGTCCAACGATAGTAACTCTAGATAAAGACTTATGAAGTTCAGCTTTTAGTCTTAATAAGAAATTGCCAATATAATTGCCCACACGGACTACTGCATTTTTAGCGGTAACGTAATTTTTTCCGGAAATTGGACTCCAATCGACCACGATAATGTTAATATCATGATGAGAGATTGCAGCTGATTTGATCACGTCGTTCACTGGGGATTCGAAATGATTTTTCCACCCATGAATTATAACGAGAGTCTGTTTCCGGACATCGAAGCCAGTTAACTTTATTATATCGTGTAGTTGGCTTTCTTTGATTTCAACCCCTAAATCCTTATTTGTAGAAGTGAAAAAATAAAATGTAATGTCGTTTTCTGTAGCGTACGCCTCTATGGTTGAGTTGTTTAAGTCCTCCACTTCTATGCGACCTTCTTCTGTTTCATATAGAAGGTATTCCGACTCGTCTGTGTCCACTACAAGCGTGATATTTATGATGGCGATTCAGGGATGATCAAAAAAATATCGTACCTGGCAATGCTGTAGAAAATGCCAAAAAAAGTACTAAAGAAATAAAAATTTTCATGTTGTTTATCCGATACCAAACACGAAATCACAACAACTAAAATTTCCTGATTTGATTTTTATATATAACACTGAGATTGAATTGCAAATGTTGATAAGATGTTCAATGCAATCGACCACAAAAGTGTTTTTCTAACTGATTCGTTTGAATTTCATCTATTTTATTGTTTTAGATATCGCGCTCTCGAATTCTTTCTGGATTGTTATCTGAAAAATATTGTGAAACAACAAGGCTTTTTAGGTGTTGTCGTTTACTAACCAATCACAATATTGTGGCGTCGGCTAACCGAAGTGTCCAAGTGCCAGTAAATAACAAAAATAATGTGCGTTTTATTTTTATTGTACTGTTTATATTATATATAATGGGTGTTCTATGCGTAGAGCGGTCGGCTGTTGGTTCTCAAAAAGTATATTCCGGCCCTGAAAAAGCAAAGCGAATATTAAATTTTAATACGGAAAAATTTAACACTATCTCTTTCGATATTAATGGGTTTAGGCTGGGTTGAAAATGAAGCAACTTACCCCAGCGCAAAATAACACACACAAACAGATTACTGTTCCTACACAGACAGATTACTATCGCATAATACTAAAACAGTAATTAGTATTGTTTCATATATATTTTTATTGTATATAATTGCACTGTGGTACATTGCTTCATTTTAGAACACAATTTTAAGTATATGTGATCTTTCCTAGAGGCCTGAAGAAGGCAGCAAAATTTCCGAAACATTAGAATTCCATTTTTCATAAACCTTTAGTATCCTTTTCGTTAGAGAGCGAGCTGGATGGCGTTTATACATTTCTTGCCAGAATTCCATTTAAGAAATGTCAAACATTAAATATTCAGTCCTACCTGTTTTGAAGAGGAAGGCCTCCCATGCGGCTACTAGTTGCGCTACAGATATTGTTGGTAAAGTCAGAATAACTGTTGCATTGTCTGCTATTGAAGAAATTATGGAACAAGCTTTCAGCGTAATATTCATATGCTCTGCTGTGTGCGCAGCTTCCTGCCACATCGATTCCACAGCCAGGTTGAGTTTTGCCGCCATTTGGAAAATAATCCGCGTGTCCCATATTAATTCCGAATCCGAGGACGCCGTCGTTGGTGTGGATTACTTGTACAAATTGTCCATCAGTGGGGTCCAAACGGTTGCTTGTGTCGCGTTCTGAGAAAAGTGGTCCTGCAGGATCTAAACCTACCAGATATCTGATCCTTCCTCTTGTCGCCGCTCCAGCGTTACCTGAATGAATAATTAATTACGATAATGAAAAACGTGAAGCTTTTTAACACCTGTAATATGAGCTCCAAGGGAGTGTCCGACAATTGTAGTCCTCGCCAAACTCAAACCAATTTGACTTTCAAGTCTGGTCAGGAATGTCCCAACGTACTGTCCCACGCGAGTTACTGCCCTTTGGGCGGTTAGATAGTTGCTTCCAGCAATAGGACTCCAATCGACGACAATAACGTTTAAATTGTGGTTGGATAAGGCAGCGTTTTTGATGATATCGTTTACTGGTGATTGGTAGTGGTTTCTCCAACCGTGAATAATCACTAAAGTGTCTCTTCTATTGTCGAAGCCTGTTAGACTTAGGATATAAGGAATTTGACTGGATTTGATTGCAGTCCCCCGACTAGGATTGCTAGGATCGAAAAAGTGAAACGTCATATCCGCTTCAGTAGCGTATACTTGAATTGTAGCATTATTTAGGTCTTCCACTTCAATCAATCCGTCTTCTCTTTGGTATAGCAAATATCCTGGATTATATATATCATCTACTAGAAATAAACGAGTTTAGTAATATTTACCGCGTCGATTATAAAGTTACCTGGCAGGGCGGAAGAACAAGCGAAAGCTGCCAGGAAAATTACCAACGATTTCATTTTTTCTGCGAACATCAAACAACGTCTCTGAATATACTTTGTTTGTTGTAGGGTTTTTATAATAAACGGATCTAACTCAATCTTAATAAATTTTTGATAAGATTTGTATAATTTGGCTTTACTATAATATATTTAGAAATTTTATCAACAGATATCAAAATGAAATCCATTTAAAATGTCATTAGAAGGCCGAACAATTTGTTTTCTTTTCGCAAATCGTTAAAAATGCATCAATTAAACTACTTTTATTTATTGTATTCAAGAGATACTCAAAGCCGCTTTTAATGTATGTCCGGTTATTGCAAAAATTAGAAAATTAGTAAATAATAGCATTTTTGGAATAAACTCAATTTTGAATTGCCTTCTTAAATATACATTTGACATTATATAGTCGGTACGAATTGTGGTGGCATTGTCGGCAATAAAATGCCAAACAGAATAAAATATATTGTTAATCGTGTTGTTATACTTCAACAGATCTTGTTCCGCCCTAAATGTATATCTGATCCATGCTAGACAGCCGTCACTAACGATCACGATTATACTACTTGGGTGTAAGAGAGACAGAATTAGTTGTACTTGGCATTTATTAATTTAACTAGTAGGCTCATATTTAGAGATGGATTCATGTATTTTGTATGTAATAATAGAATATATGATATGCGAATATTTAAGTTGAATCTACATAAAAAATTAGGATATTTATTTAAATAAGCTATTGTCAAAAATTTCTGTCTATACTATAAAAATTAAAACAATACCAAAAGAATCAAAAAATTTAAAATATTATCATACCGTATAAAATATAATTTGCCAAGAGTAAACCATATTTAGTTTGTATGAAACACCTTCATCATCAAAGCCAAAATTGGAACTGCTACTACTATCTTGTTCCTGCAGACCACTGTGGAACTTTCTCAAAATCGATGTAATTATATTGTGTACACACCCTGTATAAAGCGTCTTTTACTTATCTCCGAATTTCAATGTCGACAAACCTTGATAAATATAAAAAATTGTATAAGTAATAAGGATTTCCAATTATAATATTTTAAGTATCTGGCGTGCCCTGCATGATAGACGTAACCTGAAACTCTCTCTCTCTCTCTCAACACAATATTCAAGACTGTTCAAACAAAATTATCCCATGTTTTATAGTTTCTCATTTATGGAAAATAATTTATCCACAAAAACGGCAATTTTCAGTGTCTTTTAGATTTTTTTACTCATAATTAACACACCCTGTACATAATTGAAAAAAGTCCGCAAATAGAGGTTATAGCCCTGGATCATCCACGTTTCCGGGTCCAACAATTTTTCTAAAATAGTAAACGGTTTTCGAGAAAATAAGTTTTTTCTAAAAGCATTCGGTGCGCCATAATAATCATTATCGCGCCTTGACTGAGCCTCCGAAATAGCGATTTTAATATGGATTTTTTTAAATATTCCGAGCAGCGTATGTGACAGACGAAAACCGCAAATACAAAAATTGTAGCTCTTGATGCGGCCTATGACACTGTTGGAAACGATTAGTCATATTTTGTACGATTTTTGTTTTGCGGTTAATAATTTACTCTGTAAAAGATGAATTTCCTAAGGTCTTTTACATTTTTGTCTATAATTTGAAAACCCTGTATATAAATAAATGTAAATAAATGTTATTGAACTTGGTCTTCCACGTCTGCTGCTTAAAGAATTTTGCCTATAGGGTGAACGATTATGGAGGAAAACATATTTTTCTGGAAGCCAAAATTACAAAAAAAAAATCAAAACATTTGAAAAAATACTTGGTAAAATTTGATTGCACCGAATTTCTACTCTTTAATGGTGGACACGAACTATTACTTCCTTGCTAAATTTGAAGTTGATATCTACAAATTTAGGACACCCACATTTTTCAGTTAGCACGGAATTCGGGAACACCCTGTACAAAAATTTTAGGTGTCTATGGGGGCTATATCGCAATGTAAAAGAAAGTGATATCTGAATCATAGTCTTTCAGTTATAAACAATTTTCAATAAAAGGAGGGCTCACTTTTCAGTTTCTTTGAATTTGCGGCGCACCCTGTATATTTTTGAAAAATTGTCAAGAATAAAAGTTTATGAAACCGTATCTTTTGCGTCGTTTGGTTGATTAATTTCTTCGGTCTCGTGAGCGTTTTTTGAAAAATGATGTTTTTTGCAGACCCTTGCGCACGCGACTTTTTATTTTTTTAGAATACTTCCCGACCCCCCAGCCCCCCATTTTCAACAGGTTCCGTCAAAAGGCAAAACTATATATATGTGCCAAATAAGAAGCCGATTGCTTCAAATTTCGGACACTTATCGTGCTTCATAACAATGTCCAAAAAATCAGTCGAAAATCGCGAAAAAAGATGAATGCCGGCATCCGATCGAGGCCATTTCTTATAAGCTTATGTGTTTCGTGGAGGGTTAAAAAGAAGGAAAATTTCACTTTTGTAGCTCCAATGGTTCGAAAGTTATTCAGGAAAAACCAAAAGACTAGAACGAAGATCGGAGAATGGACAAACAGACAAAAAAATTTTTTTTTCGACTGTGATCATTTCTGTACCAATCGCGATCCCATAGGAACTACCGTTACCGAGATATAAAATTTACAGTTACTACTGCAGAATCATCATGCATTGCCTCACAATATTTTTATTAGAAAATATTTTGCACTGGGCCCTACACTAATTCTATGGCATACAATGGTAAGGAGGCAATCTTAAAATTTCATGACCCATTTCAGCAATTATTTTGTCTGTACTATACGGCAAGTTTGTTCAGTAATATTTGACAATTTTTAACAACTCACATTCTAGACCATTTTGTGGGTAATCGTTTCTTTTCTTATCGATGCATTTGATACACTTTCACTAACTCCAGAATAATATTGTGCATTATCCATAATAAGTAAAGACGGTTTTTCGAGTTTCCGCAGCAGTTTTTTAAAAATGCGACCTTGTTTTGTAGTAGAAACTATTGTAATTATCCGGTAATTGGTGCTATCTCTGTCAACTGTATGACACCGGGGCGTAATAAATAAATAATAAATAAATAAATAAATAAAACCTATATTATTTTAAGCTCGACGAAGGTAAGCTGAGCTGTTAACTTAACCGAGTATGTAAAAAGACAATGCAAATTTAATTTAGTATACTAATTTTACATATAAAGATCTTAGAGCATTAAATCAAAAAAGAAAAACGATAAAAAAGCAATATCAAATAAAGAGAACTGATTAACAATTTAGGTAGTTAGTTAGTTTAGGAAATTTAAAAGCGCAATGAGAGATTTTTCTTAAATCTAAAGTTTAGAATATCTTTACATTTATAGATTGGAGAATGTTGGAAACCTGCGTATCAAATCTGAGTTCTTATCATAATACCCCAGTTTTTACATTCGTCAACAGCTGGAATTTTTATAATAAATATATTCAAGTATTCCTAGTATTTATTTAGTCTCCTTGCCGCTTGTATTTGCGTGTCATCACCATACCTGTGACCGTCGAACTCACCAAAGCAACCACGCATATCTGCTGTATAAATAATGCAGAAAAGAGGTCCCAATAATCAGCCTTGAGGCACCCCACTGCCAGCTTCTAAGGCTTGATAATTAGGAATCAATTGAATCGTCTTAAATTTAAACCCGTGGTATTTTAACTTGGCACAGATTATAGCATGATTGAGGATATCGAAAGCTTTACTATAATCAAATAAGGCCAAAGCCCATGTTTCCCCTTTATCTGCTGCTGAAAGAATATCATTCAAAACTTTAAACAATGCCGTAGCCGTACTGTACGCTTTGCGTAATAGACAAACGCAGAACACTGGCATGTAAATTTTGCGACTATTAGTATACGAGTGGAAGCAGGTAAAATGCTGACCGACTATGCCATAGTTACATTTTCTGGTGTCTTCGCATGTCCACCCTACATGAACTAGTTTTAAATTTTATTAACTTACCATTTGCTTTTAGTAAATAAATGGAGACGATTTTAAATAGTCCATTTATTTATATTGGTATATAATTACAATAATAAAAGTTCTTTGTCTCCTTCTGCATAAGGCGAAGAGTCAGCAGTTTCCAGATAATAGTTTCCGGTTATTCTAGAACGCAAAAATCGTTTATTGCTCCTATTTTAGATCTACGATTTCAAATACTTACGAGTCATCCAATATGTACCCGCCCATACGGGTTTTTTCATTTTGCTCACATTTTCCGTTGATGTAGTCATCGTAACTCGTGCATCTTCTAGCGATGAAGTTATTATTTACAATCGATTCGGCGTAATACACGTACGATCTCCCGTGAGAGCAGATGAAATCTATCCAACACCCCGGTTGATTTTCACCCCCGTTCGGCCAGAAATCCAAATGTCCAACTTTATAGTTCGCGCCTAGTAAGCCGGCATCCGTGTGAATAACTTGAACATATTTGGCATCGGATTCATCGAGTCTGTTGTCTTTATCGTTTTCAAAATACAAAGGACCGGCCGGGTCAAGACCAATAATATAAGCCAAGTCGCCGCCATTTTCTTTTCCAGCATAACCGGCGATATGGGCACCTAGACTATGACCGACGACTTTAATATTTTCCAAGGGGTAGTTGTTCGTTTCGGATAGAGTTCTAATAAAATCACCCACGTATCTGCCCACTCCTTCTACGGACAAGCAGGAGTTTATGTAATCCCAATTAGCCAAACTGTCCCAACATACGGTAATGATGTTCACGTCGTGATTGGTCAGCAATGATTCCCTAATTTGGGTAGTAACCGAGGACGAGTTGCAGTTGTTCATCCAGCCATGGATTATGAATACCGTAGACAACCGTTCGTTGAATTGAGTTATCGATTTGATTTTGTTTGCTTCGTTACACGACACTGCTTTTCCTTCCTCATCTTTTCTGTTGTAAACCCTAAACGAGACGTCCGATTCGGCTACTCGTGGCGAAGGAGACGCCGATGTCAAATTAATTTTTTTCTGCGAGGACGTCAGCTCTTGTAACTGCCGAATTTGCGATAATAAGTCGATATTGTCTGAAACATACTCAATTCTTATTTCCTTAAGTAATATTAAGTATAATTGTGCCGTACTTACCCCGATATAGAGTACCTCCGAGAACTAGAGGAGCTACGCAATAGACAAGCAGCAGGGACCGCATTTTCACACGGAAGTATCGGAACTAACGAAAACTTAAGTCCTCGAACATCTTGGACGTAAATCGCGTAAAGTACTCTCGAAAACTGATATACGTCACCCAAACACTTGTTTGCGCATTTAAGTACGCCGATTTTATAAAAGTACCTCGTCATTTTAGAAATAAATTTTGTGCATATTTTATAAATTTATTTATTATAGAAAAACCACACGCCACCTCAAAGCCCAATGTCGCCCAACGCGTACGGTGAGTCGTCGTTAGTTTTCAGATAATAGTTTCCCGTCACCCTAAATCACGAAAAGTACAGATTTAATTAGAAATTTAGTATTTTTATTTCCGTTTTAGCCCGAAATGTCGAGCTTAAGAAAAATTGGCTTTGAGAAAACATAATGAAATTCATTTGCAAGTCCTTTTATTCTGTCCAATAAGCGCCCCGAAGCCGTGGACGTTAAGTAAGGATTATGATATTATAGCTGAGACAGTTTCATAAAAATAAAAAGGAAGAAATGAATAATTTTACTTACGAGATATCCAGCACGTAGCCACCCATATCGATTTTTGAGTTGTTCGTGCATTTACCTCCGATGTAATTATTATAACTGTCGCACTGGCGACTGACAAAACTGTCGTTGAGCAGCGACTCAGTGTAATATTGGTGCGATCTTCCATGCGAGCAAGTGCCTACGATGTCGAAGTCACAACCGGGTTGATTGAAACCACCATTGGGCCAAAAATCGATGTGACCTATTTCAAAATTGACTCCCAGAAACGAAGCGTCGGTGTGAATTACTTGGACGTAATTGGCATCAGTTATGCTCAATCTAGAATCGGGTAGCTGTTCAAAAAATAGGGGCCCTGCTGGATCTAGACCGACGATGTAGTCTAGGGTTCCGTTGGTCTGTTTTCCTGCGTATCCAGCGATATGAGCACCTAAGCTATGGCCGACGATTGTTATTTTGCCCAAATCGTAATTATTTAGTGTAGATAATGAGAGGACGAATTCGCCCAAGTACCTTCCAACTGGTGCCACCGCAGCAAAGGACGAAATATAATCTTTATAAGCATACTCATCCCAACATACGGAAAAAACATTAACATCATGGTTTTCCAAAATTGCGGATGTGATATCGGTAATTATGGTGGATGATTGGCAATTGTTGATCCATCCGTGAACAATAAACAGGGTAGGAAGACTTTTATCAAATTTGGTGTTCGTCTCTATTTCTTCCACTTCTTCCCTGGTGACTTCAACCCCTGTAGTGTCACCTTTTCTGTACAAAAGATACGTCACATCCTCTTCTTCCACGTCCGACAGCAAATTTAAACTAATCGCTTGATTAGATTTTTCGAGATTCTGTGTTAGTTTTTTCAATAGTTGTACCTGCGCCATGCGTTCTGCAACATAAACCTAAATAACGACCCCAATCTAATGCAATAAATAAACCATTATTTGCAATTACTGTTCATTTTTATACCTTGCAACGCATTGGACGTCAAAGCAGCACAAATGATAATCGTGCCCACCGACAGTCTCATGTTTATCGACCTTTCGCACAATGTGAATTGATAGAAACGCTATTGAGTCTGGCTATTTAAATCCATTAAAAAAAAAGTAACTTTGTAAGACATGATAAGATTTTTGGAACGGGTCGGTTTAAGAGCCTGCACATTTTTAAGTGTCACTTACAGTATTGCAGTATTGAGTAGCTACTTTATATAAACTTTTAGTTCCGTTTTAGTAAAACGCATATTCATACCAACTCATTTTAATTAGACAGTTTTATTTCATCTTACATAATTGTTCGATAAAACTTCAACTTTGCCATCTGAAATGCGAAAACATGGAAACTTGAGGAGCGTTATTGGCCCTACAGTTAATTTCGAACAAACTTCTTTATTTGCAATATTCACGTGATTTAAGGTGAGACAAAGCGGCGTCGGTAAGGGGCAAATTGGTGCTACACTTGGATCTGAAACAAAACTAATACAAACGCGAATTTTTAGATTTACCCACCCCAACTAAAACAGTGCCAAGGTCGATTTATGAATAGAAATCGATAGGGGATGATCAACAATTGACGTGTGAGAAATGCCTTTTCCTTATGTTTATTGACTCTGACAGTCAGGGGGGTGGGGGGTCAAAAAACGCCGAAACGTAAAAGTTTGATAAACAGTTCGACTAGTTAACCATCTTGAAAACAAATTACGGACGTATCACCAAAAGTTTGGTATTTACAAATACGCTTACATTCGTAAGATATTAAACCTGGAATTAAATATTAAGTACCATCTATAAAAATAAAATTGCTTGATGGATTATTTAAACGGAGCCTTTGTAACTAATCCATCTGTCTATTACAAATCTGTTGTAAATTATTATTGTTTACGGTGCCTCGAAATGTCACGATTTAAATTAATATTCAGCAAGCTTTTTTTTTTAATTTTAGGCGGATGCGCCAGGCTTGTGTAGTTTGCTGTTTCTCATCGGAAATGTTTCGAAAGCTCTAGTTGACTCTTAGTTGCCGCTGTGTTGAAATTCTAGTTTAATTGATTAAATCCTGAAATATAATTCATTCTCTATACTAATTCCCTCACGGAATACTTAAAATAATATCCATACGTTTAGCGAAATTCAAGTGTAAAATCTGATAAAAGATAAAAAAAATACTTTTCTAATCTCATCAGGTTCTGCAGGTGCAAACAATCAAGTTCTAGAAGTTAAATAATTAACCTTATCTTTGTTGGTTGATGTCGCAACAAATAGAGAATTTCCATTCAGATAGTACGATTTGTTACAAATTGTTAGTTTGTTAAACTGGGAAGCTTATTTCAAAAAATTAAGATTTATCGAAATCAAAAAAATCTAGAAAAAAAAACAAGAAACCTATCTTACCGATTTTCCCACTGTAAACAAGGTCTCCATTGTTTTTCACATTCAAATGCAGAGCCAGCTCATTAGGCACAACTGTAATTTCTAAACACACTGAAAAATGGTTTCTTCCCAAATATTAGCAGAATGTTTGTTTGTTATAAACTTACTTTCGTTCTGAGGAAAATTTGTTAAAGTAATTTTCGCACAGCATTCGTACTGCAATGCGGAAATGAATTCGCATTTTTCCAAATGGACATACCGCGATTTCTTAGCACATTTGATTGTTCCTAAAATAAGAAATCTATCGATTAACAAGCATTGAATTTGTAAAGTAATTTATTACGAACCACAAACTGCGAAAACCAAAGCGACAGGAAGCGAATATTTTCGTATTTCCATCACTTGATGTGGTCAGTAAAAAAATGAACGGGATACGAATTATTACGTTTTTAATAACAATTTCATGGTAATGATCGTTACAACAATTTGTACTGTTTCGATAATCGTTCACAGTCGAACTGCTATTTGCGAAATTCTATTCCATTTGAAAAATGATGTTTTGTAAAATCTATTAAGCTCCGAATTGCCAGTTCATTGTGATTTGCGTAATACAATTTATTATAATGTTGCCGCCGTATTTTCCGAAAATTTTACCGCGTTTTTTTTATAGTATGACATAAATGAAACAATGGATACTTCCAAACCTTTTAGCGTTTTCTTATCAAACCAATATACTCAGTTTTCTCGGCATGCCAATTGTATTTTTGAATATTAGTAATTGTTCTCCTGATATTACTGAAACAATAAAATTTGTTTTTTACAAATGACTATTAATTTTTACAATCTTCCCATATCAACTTTAGAACAAATATTTGTTGATGGTGTTGAATGTCAAAATAGTATCCGACATGTGTGGTAAACTTTTTAAGTCACTCGTTTATTAAAAACTCGCTCCGCTCGGGTCAAATAAACTCGTGCGATAAAATACTGGAAATGTCCGAGGTGGGTCGCATCCATGCGAGACGAAACTGACGTTGCAAAGTGACGCTTCCCGCATGCTAGATCGATGTGTAATTAGGCATTTTATGGACGGGAGTAGAATTACGGTTAAAATTAGTGAAACTGCTAAGTATAAATTTAAAAAAATAGTGCATTTTAAAAACTAGTAAAGATATTAAAAATCGCTGAAATATAAAAAAGAAAAAAATTTTGTATATACGTATAAAATCCATGTATGTTTTTATATTTTTCTAGGTACGAGCCCGGACCCTGAAGAGAGAAGGTGTGAGTTAGAAACGTGACGAATCATCGCTACTGATCGGCCTGACTTGACTTTTCTAAATTGGCCTTAAAAGGTCAGTATTAGTGTGAGCGATAATTCGAAACTGACATCATGTTTCTAAGCGATCGGCCATAAGGGTCCACGAAATACACAGGCAGTTCACAACTTTTTGTTTAACGGAAAGCATTTCATACTTTTACTTCTATCAGCCATTCCTATAAAAATGTACAAATTAATCGTCCTTTAGTGGAGCAATATGTACTAAAACCAAACAAGAATTCCCCCTAAAGTTGCTGTTACAAACAAGAAACAATAGCCAAATAAATTGTCTCCATTTTTTCCATTTTTTTCAATCTGGAATAATGTACAATTGAAATTCGCAAACGATGGGTTTGTTGTTGGCTGGTAAGCGTTGATATATGTAAATAAGCGACACAAAGTTATTTGTAAAAAATTAAATATGAAAGATTACTTCGCCGACATCGTTCGGTCAGTTTATTATCACCTGTTGTAAAGCGAATGGCGCCTGCTACCCACACACTCCGTATATTTCTCCTCGTAGAGCTAAACGAAATCAAACGTAAATTATCGACTCGCTTTATTTCCCCTTTTTTTTTGAAAGCCGTGCAATTCTAGTTCAGCCAATTTCTATAACTACTATAATGGTAATTGTTCATCGCTGAACATAAACTTTGCGTTAGCCATTATTACCCTCGTTAATGTGTCAGACGGGTTACTTCAACGTGATAAATTTTACCAAGAAAAACCCGCCCCCGTTGTTATAGTTTTTTTTTTATTTAATTTTCTCGAAATGCTACTTGATCAGTCTAAGTAAGATACTTCTATGAAACATAACAACAACCTTGAAAACAATGCTTTATTATAATTTGAACAATAATACAATCCTAGGCATCTAAGCGCTAGCAAAAAAAGAAATGAACGTACAAAATAATAGTACACAGTTTCTTGACATTTTCTTATTATTTTTATTATAAACAGTTAAAGAAAGATTCAACCTCTGAAAGTAGATAGAAAATATATAAACTTAAGCTGTAAAATAATTTCTCTAACCCAACAGGGATAACGACAGGATTTCTCTTCATCCATCCATCCACATTTTTTTTGGTTTATCTTTAACGTCAAATGTTGCTTTGAAGTTTTTTATAGTCCTAAAATTAAAAGAACAATTTACCGGTTTGTATGACTAAATTGTTCTTACTAATATCTGTATTAATATGTTATCAATATTTGCGTTCTTTTTTTTCCTTTAGTTGGGATGCATAATAATGTTGGAATGGTAAGCTAATCAAAAGCTGATCTTCTGCAATCAAGTTGGTATAA